ATCCGTTTTACTCTCAACAGTCTGTACATATTTTGTTTCTACTCATCCATTGCAGTCTCCTCACTGTAACATCTTCAGTGTTTCTTGTTTTCATTCCTCCTCCTGTCCCAACCCTCTGCCCTTAGGTACATGTTGCCTTTTTTATCCTAACGAGTTGATTATGCTAACTTAGGTGGGTTAGTTCCTTTCCAGCGAGGAAGGGTGACTAAAGGTCATAATCTTGGGGGTCCCACAGTATCTATTCGTCAGTATCCCATGATCTTGAGTTCTGTCCCACATTTGCCCAGGGCCTCCTAATGTGATCCTTTTCAGAGTCGTTGGTAGTAGGAGCGGAACCATCTCGTTCTGGACTCCGGATTGTGGAGACTGATCTTTATGTAGTCCATTAGTCTACTGAACTAATTATTGCCATGTGTGGATGCTTTTCATCACACTTCCTTCCTCGGGACAGAGAGAATAATAACTGCACCCTGGATGGCTGCGTGCAAGCTTTTAAGACCCCAGTTATTACCAAAGTAGGGTGTAGAACATTATCTTTTTGAACTATGTGATGCCATTTGACTTGACCATCATGTTCCCCAATACAATGGCCTTGAGACCCCCAGGCCCAGTGATTCATTCCCTCAAGGTGTTTGGTTATATCTGAGAAGTTTTCTTAACTTTGCCTCTTATATGCTTCACATTCGTGGATATATGAAAATATATGAGATCATTTATGTATAGGTTCTGCATGTGCATAATGAAATGTTATGGATTTCCCTTTCAATTTATCTAATTTATTATGATCCACACAGTTCAATGCTTTTGCATAGTCAATAAAACCCAAGTGAGCATCTTTTTAGTATCCTGTGCTTTGAGCCAAGATCCATCTGATGTCAGCCATGAAAGACTCCTTGTTCCACACCCTCCTCTGAATCCAGCTTGAGTTTCTGGCAATTCCCTGTTGATGTACAACCTTTTCAAAATTATTTTCAGCAAAAATTTACTTGTTTGTGGTATTAATGCTGCTACCTGAAATTGTCTACATTCTGGCCATCTTTCTTAGGAACGGGCCAAATATGCATCTCTTCCACCCGGCTGGCAAGGAAGCTGTATTCCAATTTTCTTGGTATAAATGAATGAACATTTCTGGCTTTGCATCGGTTTGTTGAAACATCTCAATTAGAGTTCATTAATTCCTGAAGCCATACTTCTTGCTAAGCCATACTTCAGTGCATCATAGACTTTTGTCAATACCATTAGTGTGTGTGCATATGCCAACTTCTGAAATTTCTGTATGCCAACACATTTGTAATATAGTGACTATATTCCTTCCACCTTTTAATGCTTCTTGCACCATTCAATATTTTGCCCATAGAATCCTGCAGTCTTGCAAGTCGAGGCTGATTGTTTTCTCCTTAATTCTTTCAGCATGAAAAATGCTGATCATGTCTTTCCTTTTTAGCTTCCAATTCCAGGTCTCTGCACATTTCATTAATAATTTGTCTTCTCGAGCCTGTCGATCTTTTACTTCACCATTTCTTGTGTTCACTTTAGCTACTCTAAATTTGCTCAAAAGCAAATTTCAGAGTGTCTTCTGACATCCATTTTTTATTTTTTCTTTATTTCCTGTCTTTGAATGAGCTTTGCTTTCTCCATGCATGATCACCTTGAGGCCATCCCATGACACATCAGGTCTTTGATCACCACGTCAGATCTGTTCTGAGACAGTCTGTAAATTCAGGTGGGAAGTACTCGTGAACTTGCTTTCATTTTCCTCGGATCCAAGTGTTTAAGGAACTAGGAGTTTGTGGCGCTAAATATGGCTGTGTTCTTACTTGTTGCTAGCTAACTTCCACTTACTAAGTCACTTTTATGTAACACTTGCTAAGGTGGCCTTGGAAGCTGTGCCACCTTTACTCACTGGAACCATAAAAGCCTGTCCTATGGGTGGCATAGAGACTCAATCTGCCCTGCTACAGCCCAGAGCTTGGCCTCTAAGTCACCCC